GTGTGTTGCTTTTACGTCCACCAGATGGCGCTTGTTTTCAAAAAAGCATTTTTTTACAAAAAATAATGTTTTTACCTGTCACAGGTGTGACATCTATGTAATATACGTATATAAAAACATTCGCATATTTGAATGCAACGTTGTGTCAAAATTTCAAAGCAATCAGTGAAGCACTTTCGCAGATTAGCGATTTTGGACAAACAACCATTATTTTTATTTATATAGATATAGCTGTAGATAGACCAGTCCCTTAAGTCTCAGCCATTGCAGCAGCCCTGTGGTCACATGATCCTGCTAACATGTGTACCTGGCTCATTAGGGAGCCCTGGTCATATGAAGCGCCTTGGGGTTTTCCACAAGCAAAGTCAAAGCTGGTAGGGATGCTTATAAGTCATTCCTGCCTACTGCAAGTTGCTGCCTGCACAGCTTGTACTGCGGGGGTCTCCCAGGTGCTCTCCAGTTTTCCTCAACTCAAGTGGTGCATCTTAAGGTTTCAACAGCAATCAGGATTGCCGTCGCTAAGGGATGTGACTGCCGGCTGCCAGCAGTTCGACAGTTCAAATCTCATCAGGCTCCAGGCTGACTCAACCTTCCATCCTTCCGAGTCGGGTAAAATGAGGACCCAGATGGTTGGGGGCAATAGGCTGATTCTGTAAACCGCTTAGAGAGGGTGTAAAAGCATCTGTGAAGCGGTATATAAGTCTAAGTGCTATTGCTATAATTCACCTGGCCAAATCAAAATGTGTCTATTATCACTCCACACACACAGACACACACTCCACCTTTTTACCTGGGGACAGTCCTTTGCTTCCAAATGATCACCGTGTATAAGCTCTGATTCTGCAGTGCTGATGTCATTAGAGCTTACTAGCGTCAGATCTGGTTCTTCCATGATGCCCCTTCCTGTAAGGGTCTCCTAAGAAATTAATTACAGGAAACAGTAAATCATCGGAATTTCTACAAAAAAAAACAACCCACACATTTATCTGCCAGAGACGAACATTTGGTTCAAAAACTGCATCATTCTATCCCAACCCCTTAGGGCAGGAGTCTCCAAACTTGACAGTTTTAAGACCTGTGGACTTCAGCTCCCAGAATTCCTTAGCCAGCCATCATGGCTGGGAATTCTGGGAGTTGAAGTCCACAGGTCTTCAAGTTGCCAAGTTTGGAGACTCCTGCTTTAAGGCAAAAGGCCATGTCATGAGTCATACCAACCAAAGAGCTAAAGTTGACAGAATAGGACCATCACTTTGGCAATACCCCATCATAGACCTTCTTTAGCCTATGTCTATTAATTTGTGGTTCTTCTTTTCTTTTGGCACTTGAGCAACTGTAAATTAAACGGTGTTATTTTTATACCTCTATGTACTACTATACACTTTTATGTTTTAATTTGGCTAAACGGCTTTTGTTAGTTGAAAATCAATGCGTTCCCCTCTAAACAGAGCAGCTTCAATTTGATTTACTGAATTTTAACCAGGGGTGTCAAACTCGATTTCATTGAGGGCTACATCAGGGTTGTGTTAGGCATGGCCAGGGTGGGCGTGGCCAGCTCGAGGTCACTCATGTCTGGGGCGCTCTGCCAGTGAAAATGGACTCCCGAGCTCCATTTTCGGCTGCCTCGGCTTCCTGCAACCCTCTGCCACTAAAAACGGAGCTTGGGAGGGCTGTGTGTGAGCTCCGTTTTCGCTGGCAGAGTGTTACAGGAGGCCGTGGCAGCCGAAAACAGAGCTTGGGAGCCCGTTTTTGCTGGCAGAAACATCGCAGGCTGGTCCTTCGCTATTTGCAGGGCAGCTCCGCGGGCCAGATCTAAGCATCCCATGGGCCGGATCCAGCCCCCAGGCCTTGAGTTTGACACCCCTGATTTAAACCATCTCCACCTGAGATCCCTTAGTCCCGTGATGGCAAACCTATAGCACGCAGCCACAGGTGGCATGCCGAGCCATATTTGCCCGCATGAGAGCCATCAGCTCCAGCGCGCAGCCACCTGATGTTCGGCCTTCCAGAGGGCCAGCGGAAGATGTTTTCGCCCTCCCCAGGCTTTTGGAAAGCCTCCAGAGCCTGGGGAGGGCGAGAAACGGGCCCAATGGCCAACGGGAAGTTCAGAAACGATCTGTTTTCAGCTGCCAGAGGGCCTCTGAGAGGCCGGGGGAGAGCGGAAGGAAAGCCTCCGGAGCATAGGGAGGGTGAAAACTCCCTCCCTTCCACAGGTAGCGGTGGTGTTGTGCACACAAGCATGGGGGTCGCACGTACATACACAGGTGGGCGGGGCGCATTGAATGCACACGATAGTGCATGCATGCACAATTTTGGCACGCCTTTACAAAAAGGTTCGCCATCCCTGCCGTAGTCTTACCCAAACAGGGACGCAGCACTGTGACAAACGGGAATCCAAGCTTTTAGCGTGGATGGCACCCATATTTAGTTGTGGAAGCATGGTGGGCTGACTGATATTTTCCTCAGCAGAATTCTGAAAGGGACTGCCAGAGTTCATTTCTTGAGGCCAGCCCAGAAGAACCTTCGATTTTGGAGAACTCTGCCCTTGCGTGGAATTTAGATCACATTGGGCGACGTCAGTTTCTATCAATCTGTTCCTGGTCCCCGTTTCGTTGTTTTCGTTGAACGACATTGCGGCTAGTTCAACAAAACAGAGGCTCTCTGCCGTTGAGCTCATGTCCTCTTTAGCAGATTCTGTCCTCTCCTGAGTACTTTTCCTCGGGCTAAAACTCGGAATGATCTCGTACATGGAGGTCTGATCTTCAACAGGAGTGAGGCTGCGAAGTGTTTCAATGGACGAGCAGAAATAACGAAAGTCGCTGTCATCTGGCAGGTCCTCGTATGAGCTCGTCTCGGGTGAAATAACGACAGGGTCCTCAACGCAGTCCTTGTTTAACTCGAGGTTTTCTTCAGGGTTGAAACTAAAGGCTCCGGATCGACCAAAACTATTGTGCAAAGTACTTTCCAGAGACAGGGGTTCAAATAATTCTTCAGCAACGAGTTGAACAGCTGCGGAGTGGCAGAAAAGTGTTTTTAGGTGAGGTTAATTATGCATAAATTCAGAACATGACTGAAGTTTTAGAAGGCTGAAGTAGAGAACGGAGCAATTATTACTCGTATTAAAAAGTAAATAAAGTAGCCTTCCACTAGGTCAGACCATCTGCTTATCAAAAGCCAGATGGTTGCTTCAGTCAAGATTCTCAAGCAAAGGCCTTACCAGAACTTTCAAGATCTGAGAGACTGAAAAAATAAAAAATAAACCACACTCCGCTACCGTGTTTCCCCAAACATAAGACCGAATCAGAAAATAAGCCCTAGATGATTTTTCTGGACGCTCGTAATTTAAGCCCTGCTCCAGAAATAAGCCCCAGTTAAGATAATCAATCAGACAGATGCATTTAGTACCGTATTTTCCCGAAAATAAGACCTAATTGGAAAATTAGTCCTAATGCGTCTTTTGGAGCAAAAATTAATATAAGCCCCGGTCTTATTTTTGTAGAAACATGGTACTAAGCTATAATTCTTCACCAAAAAACATTTCTTTCCTAAGATATAGAATCTAATTAACCAAATCATGATGATTATTTCTCAATAAGGTAAAGATTTTCCTGTCTGGTGGTGTCTGACTCTATGGAGGGTGCTCATCTCCATTTCTTAGCCAAGGAAGCCAGCACCGTTGAGTGGTCACGTGACCAGCAGGACTATATGCTGAGGCTCATGGAACGCTGATACCTTCCCAACAAATTGGTACCTATTTATCTACTCACATTTGCATGATTTTGAGCTACTAGGTGGGCAGGAGCTGGAGCAAGGAACGGGGAGCTCACCCCGTTGCGCAGCACTCAGGTTTCGAACCCAGGCTGTCAGCTTTCCAGCTCACAAGCTCAGCGTCTTTAATGCCAGATGCAAATGTCATGGAAGCCATGAGATGCCAAAAAACCAACCAGCACAGCTGGTAGTTGGTTTGTCATCAAATGTTTTTTTTTTATATCTCGCTTAGCAATATAATATTGTTCTACTGTTTTAAAATGTTTTAAAGATTTTAATTTAATATACTGTATGGGAGCCACCCAGAGTCGTTCGTTGAGATGGGTGGCTATAGAAATCCAATGAATGAATGAATGAATGAATGAATGAATGAATGAATGAATGAATGAATGAATGAATGAATGAA